TCCCTTCCCCCTCCTTGCTCCACTAGATGAAAAGCAAGCAGGCATACAAACAAAAAAAATTGGCGTTCCGCGCGGATTTTTTGGATCTGCGCTGGGCCCCCCTGGCAGCTGCTTCTCAGAAGGCGCTGGCCCGACGTTTACGACTACAGTGAACCCGTATCACGAGGGTGCGCGGTGAGGATGCAACTGCATTGGAGGCCCATGTGAACGTTTTTCGAAGGAGGTTGGCCAGCCCGAGTGGCCGAGGATGGGCCGAAGGGGCAAGGATGCAGGGGTACCCTTGGGAGGGTTGCCCATCTTCACTCTGCGGGTTGACTGTACAGTTATACCCCCAGAGCGATGCAGTTCCGAGGAGGCCTCCCAGATGGGGTTCGGACAGTTGGTGTCGTGGGATGTCGCCGATGCATCGCCGATGTGTCGGCGATGCGTTGGCGATGCGAACGATGCAGTTCCGAGGAGGCCTCCCAGATGGGGTTCGGACAGTTGGTGTCGTGGGATGTCGCCGATGCATCGCCGATGTGTCGGCGATGCGTTGGCGATGCGAACGATGCAGTTCCGAGGAGGCCTCCCAGATGGGGTTCGGACAGTTGGTGTCGTGGGATGTCGCCGATGCATCGCCGATGTGTCGGCGATGCGTTGGCGAGACTTTCAAATCCCCGAATGCTGGCTCCGAGGCTTTCGGAGGCCTCTGGAGGCCATCGGGTGTTCCCGGAACCTCCCCGGCCGAGGCCCCCGAACCTCCCAGAAGACTCCCGAAAACCTCCGAGGGAGGGAGCCGGCGAACGGAGGAGGAGGGTGGGAGGGATGAGCGAGGAGACGGAGGGATGATGATGATGATGATGATGATGATGATGATGATGATGATGATGATCATCATCATCATGATTGCATGGCCAGCGCACAATCCAGCTCGGAGCAGAGAGAAGGAGCGGAGAGGAAAAATCGAGTGAGCGGCGAGGCGGGTAGTCTGCCTGGCCTCAACCGCCACACGCATGTCTGCCATTGCTGGGGACACATACGTGCCTCAGAAAGAGTACGGAGGGAAAAATCGAGTGAGCGGCGAGGCGGGTAGTCTGCCTGGCCTCAACCGCCACACGCATGTCTGCCATTGCTGGGGACACATACGTGCCTCGAGAAGAGTACGGAGGTGTGTGGAGGAATGGGAGGGTTGCGGAGGTGTTGGAAAGAGTGCGAAGGTGTGTGGAGGAATGGGAGGGTCGCGGAGGTTCAGGGAGGAGTGCCAGAGGCATGTGGAGGAATGGGAGGGTTCCAAAAATGTTAGGAAGAGTGCGGGAGAGTGTCGAGGAATGGGAGGGTTGCGGAGGTGTTCAACCCCTGCGCAAACGCGGGGCGCAAATAGTTTAGGACACTTTATAAGGGGGGGCGATGACGGAGCAGACAGACAGACAGAGGCCCGGTCAAACCACATGGGTTGGCCCGTAGACGGGCGAGGCTCCAGCACAGTGGCCTGAGCGCACACGTGCGTAAACGGAGAGCAAACGTTGTGCCTCCGAGGGGGGAGGGGGGAGGAAAGAAAAGAACGGGGGCGGTCCTCACGCGTGAATGCAATACTCGACGAATGCGTCCTCGTCACCATCGTGTACACTGTCATACCAGCGAGACACATTATGCAAGACATCGCGGGCGAATCCTTGGAGGCGGTCGTCCCATCTCGTCGGAGGGCGCCCGCGCGCCCTCGTAGCCCCATGCGTGTAGCGCGGGTTCCATACTATGACTTTCTGAGTCCATTCCGTGTCCGATGACGGAGCGAGGGTTACATATGTCTGCAGACGGAATGCGAGAGACTCGCAGGACACTGGCTACAGGACAAGGACTAGATTAACCTGATTAGTTACAACCCCTGAGCAACCCTAGCCACATCGAAAGCGGGCATCGCAGATCGCAGCCCTCCAGGGATGGCGAGGTCTTGTTTGGGTCCGCGCGTGGCGTCACTGTGCTGGGCCCCCCAGCAGGCCTCGAAAGTGGCGACAGTTTCACAGATCGCAGCCCCCCAGGGATGGCGAGGTCTAATTTGGGTCCGCGCGTGGCGTCACTGTGCTGGGCCGCCCAGCAGGCCTCGAAAGTGGCGACAGTTTCACAGATCGCAGCCCCCCAGGGATGGCGAGGTCTAATTTGAATCCGCCGTGCGTCACTGTGCTGGGCCCCCCAGCAGGCCTCGAAAGTGGCGACAGTTTCACAGATCGCAGCCCCCCAGGGATGGCGAGGTCTAATTTGGGTCCGCCCATGGCGTCACTGTGCTGGGCCCCCCAGCAGCCCTCGAAAGTGGCGACAGTTTCACAGATTCGCAGCCCCCCAGAGTTTGGCGAGGTCTGACTGGTGTCCGCCCGTGGCGTCACTGTGCTGGGCCCCCCAGCTCGAAAGTGGCGACAGTTTCACAGATAGCCCCCCAGGGATGGCGAGGTCTAATTTGGGTCTGGCGTCACTGTGCTGGGCCCCCCAGCAGCCCTCGAAAGTGGCGACAGTTTCACAGATCGCAGCCCCCCCAGGATGGCGAGGTCTAATTTGAATCTGCCCGTGGCCCTCACTGTGCTGGGCCCCCCAGCAGGCCTCGAAAATGGCGACAGTTTCACAGATCGCAGCCCCCCAGGGATGGCGAGGTCTAATTTGAATCCGCGCGTCGCCCTCACTGTGCTGGGCCCCCCAGCAGGCCTCGAAAATGGCGACAGTTTCACAGATCGCAGCCCCCCAGGGATGGCGAGGTCTAATTTGAATCTGCGCGTCGCCCTCACTGTGCTGGGCCCCCCAGCAGGCCTCGAAAGTGGCGACAGTTTCGCAGATCGCAGCCCCCCCAGGGATGGCGAGGTCTAATTTGAATCTGCGCGTCGCCCTCACTGTGCTGGGCCCCCCGGCAGGCCTCGAAAATGGCGACAGTTTCACAGATCGCAGCCCCCCCAGGGATGGCGAGGTCTAATTTGAATCTGCCCGTGGCCCTCACTGTGCTGGGCCCCCCAGCAGGCCTCGAAAATGGCGACAGTTTCACAGATCGCAGCCCCCCAGGGATGGCGAGGTCTAATTTGAATCCGCGCGTCGCCCTCACTGTGCTGGGCCCCCCAGCAGGCCTCGAAAATGGCGACAGTTTCACAGATCGCAGCCCCCCAGGGATGGCGAGGTCTAATTTGAATCTGCGCGTGGCCCTCACTGTGCTGGGCCCCCCAGCAGGCCTCGAAAATGGCGACAGTTTCACAGATCGCAGCCCCCCCAGGGATGGCGAGGTCTAATTTGAATCTGCGCGGGGCCCTCACTGTGCTGGGCCCCCCAGCAGGCCTCGAAAATGGCGACAGTTTCACAGATCGCAGCCCCCCCAGGGATGGCGAGGTCTAATTTGAATCTGCGCGGGGCCCTCACTTTGCTGGGCCCCCCAGCAGGCCTCGAAAATGGCGACAGTTTCACAGATCGCAGCCCCCCCAGGGATGGCGAGGTCTAATTTGAATCTGCGCGGGGCCCTCACTGTGCTGGGCCCCCCAGCAGGCCTCGAAAATGGCGACAGCCTCACAGATCGCAGCAGGAGGAAGGAAGGAAGGAAGGAAGGAAGGAAGGAGTGGAGACCACACTGCTCTATTCAAAACGAATACCCAACCAAGGAGGGTTGGGAAAAACAACTACCCTGTGACGTACCCAACCCATCTGTATCAATGGAAACGAGGAGTTGGCCGAAACTTGTATGGACAATCAACTTGATGTGTAAGCTACTTGGGAGGCGTCACTGTGCTGGGCCCCGCAAGCAGGCCTCGAAAGCGACGACAGTTTCACAGATCGCAACCCCCAGGGATGGCGAGGTCTAATTTGGGTCAGCCCGTGGCGTCACTGTGCTGGGCCCCCCAGCAGGCCTCGAAAGTGGCGACAGTTTCACAGATCGCAGCCCCCCAGGGATGGCGAGGTCTAATTTGGGTCCGCCGCGGGTGCCCACTGTGCTGGGCCCCCCAGCAGCCCTCGAAAGTGGCGACAGTCTCACAGATCGCAGCCCCCCAGGGATGGCGAGGTCCCATTTGAATCCACCGTGGGCGCAGACTGCGCTAGGCCCCCCAGCAGGCCTCGAAAGTGGCGACAGTTTCGCAGATCGCAGCCCCCCAGGGATGGCGAGGTCTCACTTGAATCCGCCGCGGGTGCAGCCCCCCAGCAACCCTCGAAAGTGGCGACAGTTTCACGGATCGCAGCCCCCCAGGGATGGCGAGGTCTCACTTGAATCCGCCGCGGGTGCAGACTGTGCCGGGCCCCCCAGCAGTCCTCGAAAGTGGCGACAGTTTCACAGATCGCAACCCCCCAAGGATGGCGAGGTCTAGTTTGGGTCCGCCGCGGGTGCAGACTGCGCTGGGCCCCCCAGCAGCCCTCGAAAGTGGCGACAGTTTCGCAGATCGCAGCCACCCCCAGAGATGGCGAGGTCTAATTTGGGTCCCCGTGGTGCCTCACTCCGCTGGACCCACCAGCAGCCCTCGAAAGTGGCGACAGTTTCGCAGATCGCAGCCACCCCCAGAGATGGCGAGGTCTAATTTGGGTCCCCGTGGTGCCTCACTCCGCTGGACCCACCAGCAGCCCTCGAAAGTGGCGACGGTTTCGCAGATCGCAGCCACCCCCAGAGATGGCGAGGTCTAATTTGGGTCCCCGTGGTGCCTCACTCCGCTGGACCCACCAGCAGCCCTCGAAAGTGGCGACAGTTTCGCAGATCGCAGCCACCCCCAGAGATGGCGAGGTCTAATTTGGGTCCCCGTGGTGTTCCAGTCCGCTGGACCCACCAGCAACCCTTGAAAGTGGCGACAGTTTCGCAGATCGCAGCCACCCCCAGAGATGGCGAGGTCTAATTTTGGTCCCCGTGGTGCCTCACTCCGCTGGACCCACCAGCAGCCCTCGAAAGTGACGACAGTTTCGCAGAGCCACCCCCAGAGATGGCGAGGTCTAATTTGGGCCCCCGTGGACTGTGACCAGGGAGCCAAGCATCCGGGCGCATACTACGTAGACGCACTTCTCCGAGCTGGGCGCCGTGC